AAACAAGCAAACTATGCAATGAAAATAGAATGTGTTAGAAACATAACAGTCTGTAATGATCTGAACAACAACCATACTTCTGCTACTCCAAAAATTATGAAATAAATTTGTGGATGTGGGGAATTTATCTACTAATCATCTGCAAAAAGAATCAACCTGAAATCACTCTCCAGTAAGAAATGGCATCTATTCTCGTGAGCGCAAAGTTTCTGTTTTTTATGGCAAGATTGCAAAGACTTCACCCATGTCTTCCCAAAGGTCTTACTTGGCACTTTATTGAAACAAAAAGCTATAAAACATGATTACTACAGTAGATTAATCATATAGACACACAAAAACAGTAAGGATAAATATTGGGTTGTCTCCCAACAAGCGCTTTTCTTTAATGCCTTTTAGCTAGGCATGATGATTTCAATGATGCTCACATAAAAGAAAAGAATTGAAACATAAAAAGAGCATCACGAAGAATATGACTAGCACAATTGAATCTAACCCACTTCCTATGCCTAGGGATTTTGTGAACACATAATTTATAGGAACAAGAATCAACTAGCATAGGAAGGCAAAACAAGTATAACTTCAAAACTTTAAGCACATAGAGAGGAAACTTGATATTATCGCAACTCCTACAAGCATATATTTCTTCCTCATAATAATTTTCAGTAGCATCATGAATGAATTCAACAATCATAAAGCATTCTTTTCATGATCTATAAGCATAGAAATTTTACTACTCTCCACATAAGCAAAACTCTTCTCATTCGGAATAGTGGGATCACTAATTCCTAAAGTTGACACTCTTCCAAACCTGCTTTAGATGATAGTATTATTCATACTCCAAAAGATATAAGTAAAGTTCATGGATAATTCTACAATTAATATAGATTAACCAATATCCAAGCTCAAAATATATAAGTGAAGCACACAAAGCATTCTGTAAAACCATACTCAAATGATTTAAGTGAAGCACAAAGAGCAATTCTATAAGATCATACTTAAAAGATTTAAGTTAAGCACATGAAGTATTATATAAATCAATGAAGGGATATCTCATACTAGCATGGTTCTTAAGGAAAAATAAAAACACAAAGGACACAAATCATGTAAACAAAACAAAACCGAGGTATACCGATATTTGCTGGAAGAAGAAAGAGGGGATGCCTTCCGGGGCATCCCCAAGCTTAGATGCTTGAGTATCCTTTGAAATATTTACTTGGGGTGCCTTGGGCATCCCCAAGCTTTAACTCTTGCCTCTCTTTATTCTTTTCACATCGGTAACTCCTCGTTCTTCGAACACTTCATCCACAAAAACTTACAAAAAATTTGTGAGATCCGTTAGTGTAATAAAGCAAACTACCACTTTAAGGTACTGTAATGAATTTATTATTTATTTATATTGGTGTTAAACCTACTGTATTACAACTTCTCTAAGGTTCATACCCCCCGATACTAGCCATAGATTCATCAAAATAAGCAAACAACACGCGAAAAACAGAATCTGTCAAAAACAGGACAGTCTGTAGTAATCTGGAAGTTTAGTAACTTCTGTAACTCTAACAATTATGAAATAAATATTACAATTTGAATTTTTTACAGAAGTAATATGCAAAAAAAATTAGACATATTTGACCTTCCAATAAAAAATGTAAAATCACGCGTTACAGCCAAAGTTTCTGTTTTTGTTCTGCACAAAGTAAACAAGCAATCTAATCATCCTAAAACCAAAGCTTGACACATTATTTTTATAATACAATGGATATACACAAGGGGATAATTATTTACAGAGAAACTTCCATGAAAAGTTCTACATTGTTTCCGTGAGCATGAACACAAGTGCTCAAGGTCGACCCTCATTTCTTTAATGCATAACTTTCCAATCACTTCTCTTATTGAAAAATTGTTTAGGCATGAGAGGCAAGTAATTTTTTTTGGTATTTTCATTCTTTAATTTTTTTTTGTATGTTTCACCCACAACTAAACAGAAACAAAAAGGAAAAACAAAATCTACTTAGTGAAGAAAGCAAACAAGCACACACGAAAATATCAACCCCATGCTATTGCTCCCCGGCAACGACGCCAAAAAAGAGCTTGATAATCCCCAAGTGCAGGGGATCATCGTAGCAATTTCCAAAGGTGGAAGTTATAAGTATGGAGTGTCGAACCCACAAGGAGCTAAAGGTAAGATCAATATTCTCTCAAGTCCTATCTGCCACTGATACGACTCTACGTACACCAAACGTTTGCTTCCAACTAGATATGAGAAATAAAACTACGTTGTGGGTATGAAGAGCATAACTTTGCATGATATCGGAGAACTAAAATATAAAAGTAGGTGCTGTTATCATAAAGTTAGAATATATTACTAAATATTATAAACATCGAGTGTGGAATAATGATGGGTCGGTGTGCGAAATTATCCTAGACAATTGTTAACAAGATCGGTAGTCGTCATTGCAATTTCATGTGAGCGAGAGGCATAAACTAACATACTTTCTCTTCTTGGATCATATGCACTTATGATTGGAACTCTAGCAAGCATCCGCAACTACTAGAGATCATTAAGGTAAAACCCAACCATAGCATTAAAGTATCAAGTTCTCTTTATTCCCATACGCCATGTCCCACTTATCCGTGTTTGTGTTTCAGTCACTCATGCAACGCAGACAATAAGTAAACCATGGACATATTGCAACACCCTACAGCGGGAATCCCTCACGCTTGCGCGACACGGAGGGCACCATAGGACAGCACCAAAGTAAAAAATACGACTCATACCAATCTAGATCATCAATCAACCCAAAGACAAAGGATATATACTCAAAATATCATAGGATGGCAACACATCATTGGATCATAATATGTGGCATAAAGCACCATGTTCAAGTAGGGATTACAGTGGGGTGCGGGAGAGTGGACCGCGTAAAAGAGATGAGGATGGTGATGATGATGGTGATGTTGATGAAGACGATCACCGCGGCGATGATTCCTCTCCCGATGGCACTCTAGCGCCACCGAGAGAGAGGAGGAGAGATTCTCCCCCTTGTGCTTGCTCCTCCATGGCATCCCCCCCTGGATGGGGAGAGGTTCCCCCTCTGGTCCTTGGCCTTCATGGCGATGATGGCCCCTCCGGGATCCTTCTCCATGGCCTCCGGTGATGATGGCGCCCTCCGGCAGGGTGCCAGAGAGGGCCTAGATTGATTTCTCGTGCCTACAGAGGCTTGCGGCGGCGGAACTTTCGATCTAGGTTATTTCCCGAAGGTTTCTGTATTTATAGGAGAGGTTGGCGTTGATTTCACGTCAGGGGGGTCTCCGGACTGTCCACGAGGCAGGGGGCGCGCCCCAGGGGGTGGGCGCACCCCCATCCTCGTGGGCAGCCCGGGACTCTTCTGGCCCAACTCTTTCACTCCAGGGGCTTCTTTTGGTCCACAAAAATCATCAAAAATTGGCACGTCAATTGGACTCCGTTTGGTATTCCTTTTCTGTAAAACTCAAAAACAAAGAGAAAACAGAAACTGACACTGGGCTCTAGGTTAATAGGTTAGTCCCAAAAATCATATAAAACAACATATAAATGCATATAAAATATCTACGATGGATAATATAATAGCATGAATGCTTCATAAATTATAGATACGTTGGAGACATATCAATATCAACGTTGTTAATCGGTCACCACTCCTGAATAAGATTGAAAATGCTGAACTACCACCAGTGCAGTTTGTAGCAAATTGCCATACATATAACTATGGCTAATATCTTGCGGATGGCATCTACCCAAAGTGGCAAACATTTGTGAAGCCGTCGAAAAAATCGGAAGGTAAGAAAAATCTTGATTTTCACAATGCTCAGGCGGCGGCTAGGAAAGATATGGAGAGAGCTTTTGGGATTTTGCAAGCCCATTTTGCCATCGTGGAGAGGACCGGCTAGATTTTGAAATAAAAAATGCTTTGGTACATCATGCAAGCTTGTGTGATCATGCACAACATGATCATCGAGAATGAGCGTGACCAAGATTTAGACTACTCTTAGTATGAGCTCCTAGGACATCCTGTGCGAGTGCGGCAGAGGGGTGCAAGGGTGGCCCGATTTGTTGCCTCCTATCATTGCCATTTGACGTGACGAAATGCACGATGATCTTCAGAAGAATCTCATCAAGGAGTGGTGGACATGGAATGGCCGACATAGAGCATCATTATTTGTTTGTTTGATGTTGTATTGTTGAATTATTTGTTGTATTGCAAGATAAACTATTTGTTTGAGTTGTAATAATAAAATTAAACCATTTATTGTTGATTTATTTTGTTTGTGTTTGATTCTCTTGATTGTGTTTGGAGTGCAATGTTGTTTGCGTTGAGCGCGTACAGTTTTTTTGCAGCGGCTGCTGGAGCGGATCACACGCGCTATACTTTGCAGCAGCCACTGGAGCAAGCACCCCTCGCCACGCAAAAACTCACGACTCCGGCGCTGTAAACATTTTTTTAGCGCGCCGAGCGTTGTGTGGCTGTTGGAGATGCTCTTAGAGTATATGTAGATGTGCTTTACCGAACTGTAACCTACTCCCTCCGTTTTTAAATATTTGTCTTTCTAGAAATTTCAACAAGTGATTACATAAGGAGCAAAATAAATGAATCCACACTCTAAAATATATCTATATACATCCGTATATGGTAGTCCATTTAAAATCTTTATTAAAAAGACAAATACTTATAAACGGAGTGAGTATTTTCCAAATATGCACCACAAAGTATAGTCGCCGACGGCAACAATTTTGCCGAATTTGTGTGGAGTCCGACTCTGACCCCTTGTGCAGTTGGAGCCACACAAGGCGGAGTCAGCACGCCGTTGCCACGCCGGACTGAGATATTTACGCCGATATAAAACCTCCGCGTTCCCGTCCCTCCCTCCCCTCCCAAAACCCTAGCCTAGCCCAGCCTCCCCTGCTTTGCGGCGCGCCAGAGCGAGCGAGCAAGCCAGCCAAAAACCCACCAGCGCCGGGCGAGATGGATCGGCGCAAGGGCAGCGGCAGCCGCGACGCCAACGGCGGCCTCGCGGAGGCGACGGCGTCCAGGCTCAGGTTCGAGGACGCCGACGAGGTGGCCGAGGAGGTCGGGATGGAGGTGGAGGAGAGCCCCGCCGCGCCCGGGGAGGAGGTCATCGGCAACGACAAGACCAGCGCCGACTACTACTTCGACTCCTACTCCCACTTCGGTACGCGCGCTCGCTCCGAATCGAACACACGCCGTTTCCCCGGTGGATTTCTGTTATAGCCCGCGGCATTGGGGATTTTTTTTCCCAATCTTTGATTGACTAGTTTATGGGAGAGCATGAGGTGTTGTACCGTCCGGTTGTATTGGCGACAATATTGGTGCCAAAGATTGATCTTTTGCAGGTCTAGTGCAGCATGCGAAATAATTAGTGTACCTGCACTGTAGGAGTTCCCTCAGTTGGATCAAAAATTAATTCTCACCCTATAAACGTGATGATTGGTGAAAATGAGATTGTTTTATTGGCAATAGCTCTGGTGGATTATAGGCTGTTTTGGTTCTTGCTTTTGTTGATCCACCAGATATTTGATGGTGTCATTTTTAATTTGACCATAGGTTGTTGCTCTGCTGAATGAAAATTTGACCTTTAGTTAAGCTGCGTTCACTAGTTGGAATTTTTGAAAACCTGTAGTTGCTTGTTTTCGTCTGGTGGTAAAAGTTGGTGATCCTTACTACTTGTGTTCTTTCATGTGCTTATTATTGTTAGGTGCTGTATTAGTTACCTTTTGTCCCCATGTTCACTGCCTAGTTGTTTGGTGCTAAATTTTTTATGCTGTGTTTTAGTGTGACATTGTATGGAAAAGGGCCATTTTCTTGTTCTGTTTAATAGTCTAGCCATGTTCTAGTGTCAGGATGGTGGTCTTTTGAAGTCTTGCTCTTTTATTGGTGGTTTTATCATGTTTATGCTGTTTCGCACTGGCAAACATCATTAGCATCGAAGTATATAGTTCCTGAGTTCCTTACTGGATTGAGTGTATCACTTATTATTTTATTATGTCATATGTGTTACTTCCATGAACTGTCTAAAATGTAGTGTCTGTTTTGCAATAGTTTATTTTGTACTTATACTTTACCCTTGGTGTTTGTTTTGCAGGGATTCATGAAGTAAGCAGTTCTGAATGAAACACTACCCCCCCTTCTCTCTCGCAATTTTTCATCGTTGTATAATAGTCCTTGTTTTACTCTTTAGATGCGCCGACCAAATATGTGTGGTGCCAATTATTTTCCATGTATTGGTTGCAGGAAATGCTAAAAGATGTTGTTCGGACAAGATCATATCAAAATGTTATCACCCAGAATAACTTTCTTTTCAAGGACAAAATAGTCCTTGATGTTGGTGCTGGGACCGGTATCCTATCACTTTTTTGTGCAAAGGCAGGAGCTAAGCATGTCTATGCGGTCAGTGTACTAAATTCATGTTTTCAATTCAAGTCTACAATGGTGATTTAGTTATCCAAAGCTATTGTAATGAATGCCCTTTATTTGAATAAACTGGTATATTGGCTGAAGCACTTGTCTTCCATACAGTTGTGTGCACCCAACTATCTATGATCTGAATGAAATAGTTAGCTTTGCCTACTCATATATTCTAGTACCATGAAAATAATGTAAAAAACATGTCTCTGGTAATGAAGAGCCAGAAAATATTGACCAACCTATGTTTATCCTACTGTTGCCTTGCATTTCTGTTTCCTTGGGTACGTATTTCAATAGATAGCACACCAAGCCCCTGACGCCCCACCCACACATGCGCACAAAAAAGAAGGACAAAAAATGAAGCAACAAAGTGATTGTCTATGTTGTCCTGTGAAGTTTGGGATTTCAGATATTCCTTAGTTTGAGGTGCAGGGGATTATTTTTGTCATTTTACTCTGGCTGAATGAACACTTCCTGTCACTTGTTACTATGCTTCTAATCTTCTTTCATTTTCCTAACATAGAGTTGTTCTTTTCATTTACAGATTGAATGCTCACAGATGGCGGACATGGCAAAGGAAATTGTGAAAACAAATGGATTTTCTGAAGGTGATTTCCTGTCATTTTACTATCTATTCTATGATAGTTCTTATAGCATGTTAATCTCTTGTTGTGATATACTTACATTTTGCTTCCGTTGCAGTCATTACGGTAATAAAAGGGAAAGTTGAAGAAATTGAGCTTCCTGTCCCAAAAGTAGATGTCATAATCTCTGAATGGATGGGTTATTTCCTCCTGTTTGAGAATATGTTGGACACTGTTCTTTTTGCACGTGATAAATGGCTGGTAAGTGACCCTTCAGAGGGTTCAAGTGTTTACATTTCCTTCTTTGTTATTTCTTTTAACTTGGTACTCCAAGAGGGAACGTTGATTGAATATTCGGACCTGCTGTTTTGTACTGGAACTTTGTTGGATTGTAGCTTATATTACTTTTTGTTATTATTGCTTCTATGTAGGCTGATGATGGTGTTGTCCTGCCAGACAAAGCCTCTTTACATCTTACTGCAATTGAAGATGCAGAATACAAGGAGGACAAAATTGAATGTAAGTATGGTGGTGCATGGTGCACTGGAGTATCTGCATATGAGTTTCATGCAGCATGTGTTCAGAAGTTTTCCTGAACTCATATTTATTCTCTAATGGCGTTATTTTTTACCCTTGCAGTTTGGAATAATGTGTATGGCTTTGATATGAGCTGTATTAAGAAACAGGCAATGATGGAGCCACTTGTAGATACTGTGGATCAAAATCAGATCGTCACTAACTGTCAGTTACTGAAGGTAATGGCGTACTTCTCAACCAAGTTATCTTTTGTTTTTGTGTTATATCTGTTCAATTGGCAGATTGGATTAAATCCTTTTGTCTATTTGATATGCGTGTTTCAGACGATGGATATTTCCAAGATGTCATCTGGGGATGCATCATTTACTGTGCCGTTCAAATTGGTAGCAGAGCGTAATGACTTCATCCATGCTCTTGTTGCTTACTTTAACGTGTCATTCACCAAATGCCATAAGCTGATGGGCTTCTCGACAGGTTTGTCTGTCCTCACCTTTTATCATCCAAAGTATAGCTCCTTTCTTCAAGCAATCCGGTAGTGATGAATGTACACACAATTTACTGTTTGCAGGGCCCAGATCAAAGTCCACTCACTGGAAGCAGACTGTTCTGTATCTCGAGGATGTGGTAACTATCTGTGAGGGAGAGACTCTGTCGGGCAGCATGACAGTTGCAAACAACAAAAAGAACCCTCGGGACATCGACATTACGCTGAAATACGCCATAAACGGCAATAGGTGCAAGGTGTCCAGAACACAACACTACAAGATGCGGTGACCAACACGACGAACTCAGCTGCCGTGCAGTCCACTCAATTTTGGTCGACTGAGTATCTTGTGTTTCGCAAAATTTGATGCTTGTTCCCTGGTCTTGTATTTTAACATGCGCTTGTCAGGCACCTAGGCAACAAAGTAGAAAGTAGAGTTTGACTGGCATGTTAATGTAGTTTGATTCATTGCAAATCTATGTTGTGTCCGTGGCACAGGGATTTTGGGAAGTTGTTGTACACGACTGTGTCAAAAATGAATCCATAATAGATCACAACCCTCGCAATTTATGGGTTGATATCTTCTGCTACTGTGGTCTTCTGTTATGTCTTTTTTGTGTGTATCGCCATTATTTTTACTGCCTGAGCATATATTCCTTTGCTAACTCCATCCGCTCGGAATTACTTGAACTAAAATACATCTACATACATCCATTTCAATGACAAGTATTTTCGGACGGAGGGAGTACAATGCAGATCTTTTGCGTGCAAAACAGGATAATAAGATATTTTTTTGAGCTACACACAAAAAATGTCAAAGTGTCGAAAAAATGTCTTATATTATGGGACGGAGGGAGTACTTAGGCCCTGTTCGGTAGTCGCCCGCTCCTGGAATCTGCAGAGCGGGGGAAGTGCAGCTCCGCCGTTTTAAACTATAGCTCCGCCAACTCCGCTCCCGGAGTTGTGGAGCGGAGTTGTCGTTTGCAAAAGTAATAATGATCTTTTCAGGCATGCCTAGGAACAATGCCGAAAATGCATGGCAACTTTAACAATAAGCAGAGTAGTCTTACAACACATAATTTTACTCTAACAGAGCATGCTAAATTGCTGATGCCACCATGTTACGAAGATTCACTGCGCGAGTACGCTGCATAATAAGAGAGGTTTGAGATTGTGAGATGAAAACTGGCAAGCAGATTGGCTTGGAGCATAATCAGTAGGGTTGGCGAGTGCTTACTTGTAGAGGTAAGCACCAATGCCAAGAATGATGCATATCAGTATGATATCAACTGTGAAGTTCCTTGTCGATCGAATCTGCACAACACCCAGATCCAGATTTTGATTTGTCAGCAGAACAAAAGAATGAAAGTTGTTCTTCATCAGGGATCTAAGGGAGCAATAAAGCCAACCTGGTTGACTATCTCTTTAAGCCTGACGTTGGTCTTTCTTAGTTCTGTGTTAGCCTTGTCGACCTGCAGAAAATACCATGCATATCAGCCAGTTTTCATCTATGGAAAAGACAGAAGGATGGACCAGAAAGCATTTTTTTTGTTACAAGAGCAGAATGGGGTCAAAACCTTTCTGTCAATTTCGTCCATGAGAGGGACCTGCCTGTCCAGTTCCTGCAGAATTACGTCATCAAGAGTCAATTGTAGCTCAAGAGTCAATTCAGCTTGGGTTATTATGCATGCCACTTGATGCATTTGCAGCTGACTGACCTCACCAATGTCCTCTGCCAGGTTTTTCAGCGTGTCCAGGCCTTCAGAAATGAGGTCCAGCCCTTCATCCTGCGCATCACATCACATTTAGAAAGGTAAATTCAGGGTTTTCGAAAGTCGACTGCTAGCAGTTTACAGAAATTGATTTAATGGGCACGAGGCCAAAATTGTTGCCTGTTTGATCCGGAGCATCTCGAACTCCATTCGAAAAGCCTTCGATTCCTCGCTGGTCTGGAAGTAGCCCTCGTCCAAAGTTTCAGCTGCAACTGGTTGAAAGTTGAAACACGAGAAACATGGTTGGTTCCAACTCTGAAAGAGAACCAAATCCTTGTGTTTTTCTTTACATGCGATATGCACCTTTTAATATATCCCCTAAAATCAGAGGGATTCTATCGTCACGCTAGATACTACAGTTTTTTCACGAGGAATGATATGCAATGCAGACTGAAGAATGTGTTGCTGTACACTGGTACTAACTGAAGAATGCACCGGAACATGAGAGGCAAGTCTGAACACAATTTCAGTAGCTGAGATGATAATTGATACTTTGCAGATGAAAGAAAAAAGGGAAACCTGAAGAGTCAAACTTGATCCCCGGCCGAGCGTTCCCGCCGCCGTTCTGATCCGCCGCGCCGCCACCGTCGGGGATCGACTGGATCCTCTGATGCAATGCCGAGACCAGATCAGGCCGCAGCGCCATCTCCTCCCGCGACACCCCTTTCATCTGTGCATGCATGTTCAATCGTTCAGACATTCGTACTTGTATCGGAAACTCATCGGGATGATCTATCAATTTCGAGAAGAAAACTATGGAGACGAGCTCGGATCGAGTTGATGGCGTGTAAATGTGATCGATTATTTTTGTCACCTTCTTGCCGGCTAGCTTCTGGAGCTTGGCCACTTCCTCCAGGAGCCGCGCCTTGGTGCGCCGCACGCCGGCGTTGAGGGTCACCGCCGCCGCCCGGTTCGTCTCCCTCGCGGCCCGCTCCGACTTCTGAATTCAATCACAGTTTGACATGAACCGTGAGCGCGGCATTTCAGGCAGGATCAAGGATCAAGGAAGGCCGCATGCAGCTAGCAACGCGAGGAGGCGGCGGGGAACGGGACCTCGATGGCTTCGTCGATCACGGCGTCCATGTCGGCGTAGAGCCGCGAGAAGGGGTCGGCGGCGTCATTCCGGTGCTTGTCGGCGTCGTACCTCTCGTACTTCTTGCAGATGGCGTCCACCCGGGTCAGCACGTCGATCATGCTCATCTTGCCGTCCTCCCCGTGATCGCCGGTGCGCAATGCCGCATCCGGAGGGGCGGCCTCTCGTCGACCGGCGCGCCGCCGCTACGGCGGTGGTCAGTTAGTACGGCGAATCAGTGGTAAACCACGCCGGACAGGAGAAAAGGAAGAGAAGGGAATGGACGAGGTCAGGAGGAGCCTCCGTCTTGTTGTGGAATGGTTTGGGGGATATCTCGCTGGTTGTTAGTCTGTTGGTTACCCGCGAAACCCCCGGCCGGCGTTTGGTTATTCATTTTTATTTTTGTAAAATCATTTAGGAAATTGTTATTTGAGCATTTACTGTGAACTCAGTCTATGTTTCTTTCGCTCGCAGTTAGTCTGAAACTGCTTTGCCACATCATTTCTTTGTTGCATCTGAAAGAGAGATGTATCATGAAAGCTGATCTTCTATAGAAATGTCCTTCGACAGACAATTCTGGTTACTACGTTTTTATATAAATGTGTGCATCAAAACATTGATAAATGTCCGCACAGTGCGGTCCAAACACTTTGTGTCATCCAACGCCATGCATTAACGTCCGCGGACCGGTCAATACGTCTAAATTCCTACAAACCGGAAGCAAAACTGGGAGGTTTGCGGACAACCGCCACATAGGAGTCCGACACCCACAAGTACCCACAAAAAAAACCCATCTAGAGCCTTGCTTCGCTCTGCCCCCCCCTCTGTATCTGTGTAGTCCAAGAATGTCGTCGCCGCTGTACCACCCACTCTACCACCCAGGCGTTGCTGGACCTTCGCCGCTCCATCCGGCGCCAACCTGGAGTTGCCTACGCCTCCTTTCAGCCCCTGGTCCGACGATGCTTAGGTACCCTCCGCCCCTGCACATTGTCAGCCATGGTGGACACCACACCCGACAAGTGTTCGGCCAAATGCCACATCCAAATTTGTTGACATTTTTTATTCAGTTGCAGAGTACTTCTACGCCGAGTTCATTTATATGTCCTCGTCAAATGAAGAAGAATATGAGGATGAAATGACGATGATGTATCTGGTTATTGAAGATGCCCAACATGCGGAGTAGCATGTTTTCAGTTTCAAGGGGTCAATCACGGGACATCGAGTGCTGAATCGGTATAAGGCACAAGGCATATGATGATGATGGACATCTACTTCGTCCCTGATGCACTATTAGAGTCCTATTTCGGTCGTCGATTTTGGATGAGCCGAATTATATATGTTCAATCGCCTCTACAATGGTTTTCGGGCCTATGATGATTATTTTATCTTGAAGAAGGTGAAGGAAATATGTCCTAGAGGCAATAATAAAATTGTTATTTATATTTCCTTATATCATGATAAATATTTATTATTCATGCTACAGTTGTATTACCCGGAAATTTGATACATGTGTGGATACATAGATAAAACACCGTGTCTCTAGTAAGCCTCTACTAGACTAGCTCGTTGATCAAAGATGGTTAAGTTTCCTAACCGTAGACATGTGTTGTCATTTGATTAACGGGATCACATCATTAGGAGAATGATGTGATGGACAAGACCCATCTGTTAGCTTAGCATAATGATCATTAAATTTTATTGCCAATGCTTTCTTCATGACATATACATATTCCTTTGACTATGAGACTATGCAACTTCCGGATACCGGAGTAATACCTTGTGTGCTATCAAACATTACAACGTAACCGGTGAAAGAAATATGCCCTAGAGGCAATAATAAAATTATTATTTATTTCCTTATATCATGATAAATATTTATTATTCATGCTAGAATTGTATTAATTGGAAACTTGGTACATGTGTGAATACATAGACAAAACAGAGTGTCCTTAGTATGCCTCTACTTGACTAGCTCGTTAATCAAAGATGGTTAAGTTTCCTGACCATAGACATGTGTTGTCATTTGATAAACGTGATCACATCATTAGAGAATGATGTGATGGACAAGACCCATCCGTTAGCTTAACATTATGATTGTTTAGTTTTATTGCTATTGCTTTCTTCATGACTTATACATATTCCTCTAACTATGAGATTATGCAACTCCCGAATATCGGAGGAACACTTTGTGTGCCATCAAATATCACAACGTAATTGGGTGATTATAAAGATACTCTACAGGTGTCTCCGAAAGTGTTTGTTGAGTTGGCATAGATCAAGATTAGGATTTGTCACTCTGTGTATCGGAGAGGTATCTTTGGGCCCTCTCGATAATGCACATCACAATAAGCCTTCCAAGCAATATGACTAATGAGTTAGTTACGGGATGATGCATTACGAAACGAGTAAAAGAGACTTGCCGGTAACGAGATTGAACTAGGTATGATCATACCGATGATCGAATCTCGGGCAAGTAACATACCAATGACAAAGGGAATAACGTATGTTGTTATGCGGTTTGACCGATAAAGATCTTCGTAGAATATGTAGGAGTCAATATGAGCATCCAGGTTCCGCTATTGGTTATTGACCGCAGATGTGTCTCGGTCATGTTTACATAGTTCTCGAACCCGTAGGGTCCGCACGCTTAACGTTCGATGACGATTTGTATTATGAGTTATGTGTTTTGGTGACCGAAGTTTGTTCAGAGTCCCGGATGAGATCACAGACACGACGAGGAGTCTCAAAATGGTCGAGAGGTAAAGATTGATATATTCGAAGACTACATTCGGACACCAGAATGGTTTCGGGAAGTATCGGATAAGTTTCGGAGTACCAGGAGGTTACCGGAACCCCCCGGGGGACTATTGGGCCTTCATGGGCCCTAGTGAAGAGAGGAGGCACGTGGCCAGGTGGAGGCGCACACCCTCCAATCCCAAACCGAATTGGACTAGGGGTGGGGGGCGTGGCCCCCCTTTCCTTCTTCTCCTCCACCTCTTTCCCCTCCCCCCTTCTCCGAAAAAGGAAAGGAAGTCCAACTAGGATTGGGAGTCCTAGTTGGACTCCCCCCTTTGGTGGGCCCCCTTAGCCGACTGCCTCCTCCCCTCCTCCTTTACATATGGGGGCGGGTGATACGTCTCCAACGTATCTATAATTTATGAAACATTCATGCTATTTTATTATCTGTTTTGAATGTTTATGGGCTTTATTATACACTTTTATATTACTTTTGGGACTAACCAATTAACCGGAGGCCCAACCCATATTGCTGTTTTATTGCCTATTTCAGTGTTTCGAAGAAAATGAATATCAAACGGAGTCCAAACGAAATGAAACCTTCGGGAGCGTGATTTTTGGAACGAACGTGATCTGGGAGACTTGGAGTTGAAGTAAAGGAAGCTTCGAGGTGGCCACAAGGGTGGGGGGCGCCCCTCCTACTGGGCGCGCCCCCCTGTCTCATGGGCCCCTCGAGGCTCCCCCGTCCGACTTCTTTCGCCTATATATTCCCATATAACCTAAAAACATCGAAGCGAACAATAGGTCGGGAGTTCCGCCGCCGCAAGCCTCTGTAGCCACCAAAAACCTCTCAGGAGCCCGTCCCGGCACCCTGCCGGAGGGGGGACCTCTCACCGGTGGCCATCTTCATCATCCCGGCGCTCTCCATGACGAGGAGGGAGTAGTTCACCCTCGGGGCTTAGGGTTTTGGTTGATTTGTGTCTTAAGGTGTTATTCTAGTACGAACTCTATGATAGATTGAACGGAAAGAATAGCTTCGTGTTATTTTACTACGGACTCTTGAATAGATTGAGAAGAAAGGATAACTTTGAGGTGGTTTCGTACCCTACCATAATATCTTCGTTTGTTCTCCGCTATTAGTGGCTTTGGAGTGACTCTTTGTTGCATGTTGAGGGATAGTTATATGATCCAAGTATGTTATTATTGTTGAGAGAACTTGCACTAGTGAAAGTATGAACCTTAGGCCTTGTTTCCTACTATTGCAATACCGTTTACGCTCACTTTTACCACTTGTTACCTTGCTGTTTTTATATTTTCAGATTACAAATACTCATATCTAGCATCCATATTGCACTTGTATCACCATCTGTTCGCCGAACTAGTGCACCTATACAATTTACTATTGTATTGAGTGTGTTGGGGACACAAGAGACTCTTTGTTATTTGGTTGCAGGGTTGCTTGAGAGAGAACATCTTCATCCTACGCCTCACACGGATTGATAAACCTTAGGTCATCCACTTGAGAGAAATTTTCTACTGTCCTACAAACCTCTGCACTTGGAGGCCCAACAACTTCTACAAGAAGAAGGTTGTGTCGTAGACACCAGGCTCTTTTCTGGCGCCGTTGCCGGGGAGGTGAGTGCTTGAAGGTATATCTTTAGATCTTGCAATCGAATCTTTTTGTTTCTTGTTTTATAACTAGTTTAGTCTATAAAAGAAAACTAAAAAAAATGGACTTGAGTGTGTCTCATACGCTTCATCTTTTTAATATCTTTCGTGAGTACGATGGAAAGGAAAATTGTGCTCAATTGCTAGAAGAAGAATGCATTAAAATGTTTGATACTAAATCTTTGAATGATGAGCATGATTGCAATGTTGTTAGTATGAACTCTTTGAATATCCATAGTACTAATGATGATTGCACTAGTTATGATGAAAATGTCTCTTATAAGCATGTCGATTTTTGTGGAGAGCATTGGATTTGCATAGATACACCAAATAGAGAAGATAGATATTGCAAGAGGCATAAGCATGTAGAAACTAAATTGTTGCAAGAAAGGCTAAGGGTGAGTGACAAAGAATTATATTTCCTTCGCCGTACTTGTGAACTTTGCAATGAAAGTGGTCACTTACATCTCCGATGCAAATTGTTTCATGATCAAATCGTGTCAAAAAATTGTGATGATTTGATCTCCCTTGCGCATTGTAATGAACTTAGTTTGCTTATGAGTTACGAACAAATGAAAAGTTTAACTAAATTTCTTCCAGAATTTGCCCGTTATAACCTTCTTGAGTTTGATCTAGAGGAAATTTATATGTATTGTGTGGTGAATTGCATTGAAAATCCTTATATTGCCAATTACATAAAGAAAATAAAGCAAATAGAAGATGA